CATTTGCTTATTTAAACTTGATGACTGGTATTTTCACTGAATGCATCTTGTCCCATGAAAAGAAAGCAGAAAGCTCTCCATCTTTTGCCTTCTGTATACAATTCAAGGCCATTTGATAGAAAGGTGTATTACAATTTGCTGTATCAAAGTTATATCTGTATCCTGACTGCCAATGATTTGTTTGCTTTAAAATCTTTTTAGACTTGGTAGAGGAGTACATATTGCAAATGGAATTGCCATTTTTTCTAAACTATGTTTAGTACTTCAAGGTTAATAAGTAAATGGCCCAGAAAATGGATGGAGGAACGATGTATTGCACTGATTCTTTTTTTTTTTCATTTTAAGGAGAATTATATCAAATTGAAAATTATATATATAATATACAGGAAAGTTGATAGGGTTTTCTGTTGATAGCTGCACAATAAAATTTTCACTGAGACTCAGATTTTTACAAAAGTTCTAGATCATCTGCTTTTGAACAATATGGAATACATAATTTCCAACTGGAATTACAGCAAAGTAACCCTACTGACATGAAGTTGCTTGTAATTTACAGCAGTGTAAATGAGACTAGAATCAGACCTTTTCACTTAGAATACACTGGTGGCTATTGATGATGGTGATGTCAATGATTTAACCAACTCTTGATCTTTTCTTATTTGATCACTGCACTATTAGAGTAACTGACCCTGGCTGTGCCTCATTTTAACAGCATTAGCAAACAAATAAATCAATAGAATATAGCTGATATTCTTATAAATGTGTGTAAGAGTGCCTTAGTAAGCTCTTTGGGACTTTTAAAACTGGATCCTGCTGACCGAAAGTCTGTTTTCGTATACAAAAAGAAAAATGCCTGAGTTTGGCTGAACAAACTTAACTGTTGGATATTTCTTGCATCATCAGTGGTTCCAAAAATTTGGTAACATAATATGTTATCTGAATAATATCTAAGATGTTAAAATTAATCTTGTCTTTTAAATTTATAGTTCATTGCTAAGATAACTTTAAGACAAAAGAGAGCCTAAAGGAAAGGTGTTTGGGCAAGTATACTTTATTTCCGGACCACAGCTATGTTCCATTATAAGGTTTGTTGATTAATTCATTCTTTTCATWAACTATATAGCATTCATTTTATTTTGCAGCTCCTTACCCCTTAGTGGCTGCTAGTTATTAACYTTTCCCCATGGAATTTTATAGCTTTAAATTCCCAAACCTGCCTTTTTTTTTTTCAGTCTTTTTCTTCTGCTGTTAGTTTTTCTCTTYTTACTTAATTAACATCTTCCCTTCTTCACGATCTATTTAGCTGATGATGGCCCAAATGCTTCTCAGGAGCTACTTACACTGCTGCTAAGGAAGCAGTAGATCCATCTTGACATGTTACTATGGGAGGAAAGACACCAGAGGGGCTTCACAGACAAAATCTGTGACACGACTGAGCAGGATGGCTCCAGTAAACAAGCAAGAAGGTTGTTTTTTTCAGGTGTGTTATGATTTGCAAGATTGCATAATAGAGAGAAAGGAGGCAGACAAAAGCTCTTAAATCAGAAGAGTCACAGGAAGATGAGAAAGAGGACATATTCACACAATTCTTCTTTATAGCAATGTCAATATAGCAGTGTATTTCTCCTCAGCAACCTTATGTGGTTTGCTTCCCAAGTATGGAAACACTTCCTAAAATGTTCAGCAAAGTTTAAACTGTAACAGTGAAATTTATCTACTTTTATAACCAAAGTTTTCAAAAAAAAGAAAACTTCTTCTGCTGTGAAAMAGAGGCTCCTAATTTAATATGCTATTAGATTAGTGTGGGGTTTAAAGGGTGAGTCTCTAATATATGGAGAAATGTGGCCTATTTGTGTGATTAATACAATTGTAAGTCTGCAGTAGAATGATTACTATGGAGGGGCAAAATGTGCTTGACAAAGCAATAAATTTGGATGCTGAAATAGATTTGGTTTGTTCTCTATGAACGCCAGTTCCTTTGAGCTATCAGATGGAATAAAACATAAAATTGTATTTGATTTATATTCACATGTTCTAATATCATATAACAAGTGGCATTAAAAGTAACAAGACAAATCTTCCAGGGCTGATAATTTCATTTCAGAAGTTTGGGGTTAGTAGTGGAAATTTATGGATCAGAAAAGATATTAATGTATATGAACCTTTTAGCTAAATAAAGTATGAGAAATTACTCTCCTGAGGTAAAAAGGTTAATAGATATAACCTTGAATTTATACTTCTTTTAAACGCTGAGTAGTCAGTTTATTCTTTGTTTTATAGATTTGGAAAACCACATGCTAAACTGGAGAAAAAAAAAAGGTAAATGAAATGAGTAACATAATTTTGAGGGTTTACTTACATATAAAAGGGRCAAATCTAAATTGCATTACTTTTTCTGCAAATAGAATGAAAATACTATATGTATATGAGAATATATTTTTAAAATATATAAATCAGCATTAAAATTCATCAGGTGAAGTTATTTTGCTAAAACATTTTCAGAGACTGGAAAGCCAAGAGGGACTACCGTAATCACCTAGACTAACCTCTTCTGTATTGCAAGTCATGCAAAGTCTTTGAATTAATTCATATTTGAATTAGCACTTATATTTTAGAAAGGCATCCAATCTTGATTTTAAAATGCACAGCTGTAGTGACTCAAGTTGATAAGCACTTGCTCAGTAGTAGATTGTTGTACATGATGCAGATTTTAGCTCATTAGTCAAGTTTCCTTTACTCTTCTGTACACCTTAATCTACATTCACAGCTATACAGCTGTAAGTATTCATACCGTCGAAGATCACATTAACCTTTTGGGGTAGGAATTCATGATGGGAGGTGTTTAGCTCATTCTTCCTGATTGTTGTAACATCTGCTATTCTCTTCAATGACGTCGAGTGCTGAGTGTAACTGAACCAGGAGCTGACCTGCTTGGGGCCAGTAGAAATGCACAGGATCAGCAATAATTCTTCACTTACCATTTCATTCAGAGACCTGTTACTTAGCTAGTTTTTAATCTTTATTATGTGTGCTGTATTGATTCCTTATTATCCTGCCTCCCTAATCAGAAAGAGCTGAACCTATTAAAGCAAATGTCCTACAACAGTCTAGGAATACCAAATTTAYGCAGTTGCCTTTATCAATCAAGCCTGTAATCTGGCTGAAAAATAATGAGTTGTAAGATGTTTTTCCTTAAACCATGTTGATTCTTAATATGTGTGTGTGTATATATTTATTTATTCATTCATTTAATTACCATTAGTGAGGGAGATGAATGCAATCCCCKTTGGGCATGTTAAGAAAGGCATTAATTGTTTCAGAATTTATGTCAGCTTGAAAACAAATATTGAAGTCAGAGAAGAAAGCATTGAACACAGCAAACAAGCTGGAGTACAAGTGTGGTATCTGTGGTCAAATAGTCATGTTCTGTGTGGGTTCATCATTAATGAGGATCATGACAAGCTCCTAAAACATCTGTTTCTACTGTGCGCCAAATAACCCTCCATCCCAAATACAACTAATATAATCTTAGAAGTCTTCATTATCTTCATTATAAATAGAGACCTAGTCTTTATTTAAAAGGCTTGCAAAGTCTACCTTCCTAAGCTAAGTACAGTAGGTGCTGATCTACCTTTATGTTAGAGCATATCCCACTATTTAATGGAATTATCCTAAGAAGTCCCCTCAACTCCTTTGTGGAATAGAAAAGATATATATTTCCTCATTTTTCTTTCTTTATTGCTTTATTTTACAGAGAGGGAACTAAAGCAAGGAGAGCAGATGTGTGGAAGCACTGAGCTCCTGCTCAGTGGCAACATTGGGCATGCATATGAGACACTGGACTTAGCAGTCCACAGAGTGCACGGCTGTAAACAGAATCACAGAATCACAGAATCACAGAATCACAGAATATTTAAGGTTGGAAGGGACCTCTACAGATCATCTACTCCAACCTTCCTGCTCAAGCAGGCACACCTAGAGCACGTGACACAGGGTGGCATCCAGGCAGGTTTTGAAGACCTCCAGAGAAGGAGAATCCACAACCTCCCTGGGCAGCCTGTTCCACTGMTCTGTCACCCTAACAGTAAAGAAGTTCCTCCTCACCTGAAGACGGAACTGCCTGTGTTCCAGCTTGTGGCCATTACCCCTCGTCCTATCGCTGACCACCAGTGAGAACAGCTTGTCCCCTTCCTCCCTGCATTCTCCCTTCCTGAACTTATACAYATTAATCATATCCCCCCTGAGCCTTCTCTTCTCCAGAGAAAACAGGCCCAGCTCACTCAGCCTTTCTTCGTACGAGACATGTTCCATTCCCTTAATGGATATATATATATATAATCACACTGTAAAGTGTGATTAAGTATTGTATGGAGCTGAGCACGGGAGCGCTTCCGAATCCCTGCCTCTCAGTGATGCTCGTGTGCTGGAATTCGAGGAGCACAACAGCCTCTTCACTCACACGTTGCTTAACCGCCTTGGCAGAGGCAGGTGTGCTGTTGCATGGGAGATGTGGGGCTTCTACCCTGATCACTTAGTTGTTCAGCTAGGAAGAGATAAAATTAACAAATCACCTCAATAATAGATTTTTTTATTAGGGAGAAGAGGTTGGGTTTCTTTTTTTATTATCATTTTCTTTTCCATCCGGGATGGGCACGTCCAGAGTCCCTGTCTCTCTGATTTCACAGCTCGCACGCCGGGCAAAACACGACGGGAGCGCGGGAGGCGGCGGGCGGGACGGGGAGCCCCGACGGCGGCGGGGCGGGGGGGGGGGGGGGGGCGCTGCCGGCTCCGGCCGCCTCCCCCGCGCGGGAGCGGGAGCGGAGCGGAGCGGGGCGCGGAGCGAGGAGCGCGGCCCGGCCCCGCATTGGCTCCCCGCGCTCCCGCGTCACTCGCGGCCCCGCGCGGCGCCGCGCGCGGCAGTCGCGCGTCTCCATGGAGGGGCTGCGGGCGGGCGCGGGCGAGCGCTGAGCGGCTCCGCGCGAGCCGCACCGCCGCCTGCCATGTCCGGCCCGCGCCCCGCGCCCTGCGCCAACGCCTCCTCCTCCTCGCCCTCCTCGCCGGAGCTCAACGGGACGCGCGAGGCGCTCCTCGGCGCTCCCGCCGACTACGACGACGAGGAGTTCGTGCGCTACCTCTGGAGGGAGTACCTGCACCCCAAGGAGTACGAGTGGGCGCTCATCGCCGGCTACATCGTCGTCTTCATCGTGGCGCTCGTCGGCAACGTCCTGGGTGAGCCCCGCAGCCCGCCCGGAGCCGCCCGCCCGGGACGCGCCGCGAGCTGCCCGTTCCGGCGCGGCGCCGGCGAAGCCGCCGGGCGCGGGACAGAAGCCCCGGGCGCCGCTCGGGGCCGGCGGGAGACCCTGCCCGCGGCCGCCGCCTCCTGTCCCTGTCCGCCGGGCGAGGTGCTGAACGCGCCCGGCGAGGCCSCCTCGTCCCCGCGCTGCTGCCCGCGGGGCTGCCCCGGTCCCCCCCGGGGGCAATAAACGCCCTGCGTGTGGCCTAAAGGACGGCAGGGGAGCGGGGGGCGCCCGGCGAGGCGAGGCAGGGAGGTGGCGCCGCGCAGCGCGCCCCGCGCCCGTTCACCCGTGAAGGAGCCGGCCGTTGGGGCCGTTGGGGCGGCCGTTGGGGCGGCCGTTGGGGCGGCCGTTGGGGCGGCGGGGTGCGGGCAGGGGCTGCGCGGGGGCTGGCGGCGGCGGGAGGCGCGGGAGGAGGGTCCCTCTCGCCGGTGGATGAAAGTTTCGCTGGAGGCGGAGGGCAGGAGCGGCCGCCCCCGCTCCTTCTGCCCCGGCCTCACCCCCCCCTCCCCGCTCCGCCATCGCTCCGGCTCCTGGGGACGCTGCCTCCCTCCCTCCTTCCCTCKCTCCGGCCTCGGCTCCGCTCATTTACACCGAGCTGTAAGAAAATGTGTCAGTGAGGCCGGCGCCAGCGCAGCTCCCGTACTCACACGTGTGTGCACACACACACCCACACACGCTCACACACGCCCAGACACTCACACACATCCTCTCGCACACACCCCACTCCTGAGGCATCTCCGTGCCCACCGGCTCTTTCCTATTCCCRCACAGCTTTCCACTTCATTTTGCGAATGGGAATACGCCAGGCTTCATAAAGCCCGTATTTATGAATGAACACACATGCCGTGTGACCACCAGGGAGCTCATTAYGCCTGAGAATCCGCTTATCGCGGCCATTCGCATTTCTTCCCTCTTTATTTATACCAGTGATAGTCTCATGCGAAGAGTGGCGCACTAATGCACGGCGCTCTGCCCTAAGGGTCTCCCATTCATGTTTTTTAGAAGGGATTTATGTATGGTAGGGCTGTYATCTGCAAGCTGCCAGAGAGGAGACTGAAGACAACGGCACGATTTTGGAAGTATCAGCAGACTGATACTGCTATTTTGATTCTGTAATGGCATGGTAGCTGCTGATAAATCCTGAATATGCACGAAACCAGGGTGTCTTTAGCAAAAGGGGTTATGCTATTCAGAAGCCGGAACTTCTGCTTACTTGCTTGGTTGTTCCATAGTGAGCTTGATAGACAGCACTAATAGCCTTCCCAAAGAGCGTGTGCTCATCCTGATCCAGAGCAATGACTAATTTTGGAGGGGGGGCGGGTAGGATCTGTCTTCACCTATTTGCCTCCACCTATCCTGTAAATAGGCTGTCCTCCAGACTCAAGGTCAGATCATTTGCTATAGGACCTCTCACCATGTTTGCACTCTTTTTCCTTGGGAAAGCCACAAGGATAAGCAGTTTTCCCTCATTGCACTTGAAAACAGAGCCAATATTGGTGTCAAAGTGGAAATGCTGACCCCCTGATACTGTGTAGAGTGGCTTATTTTGGGGGACAGAAGTTGACATTTTTCTGTCTGGGCACTTCTCCTTGGTACTGGACCTACTGCTGCTTCTGGCAAAGTTGTCTCTGTTTAAAGTGCCTCTGGGGTCACCCAGACCTCATCCACCCAGGATGCTGGTCTGTTTGTGGGGGTCTGCGGGTGCAGGTGCCTGTTAGCTGAGCCCTGTCTCATCTTTGTGTAGAAACTTCCAAATGCTCTGACTGCAGACACCTGTGAGTTTGGGGAGAGGAATGGATTTGCCTTATGCTCCTTTTCCAAAGGCATTTTTAAAAACTTTGTTTATTTGGCTACTGGTATCTGATATAAAGCAATGCAATTCAAAGTCTTATTATTCCTATTTTAAAAATCCATATTCAAGTTTCATCTGAAATTTACTATTGGACCCCTGCTTTGAACACAAGGCAGAAGTTGGTTTTGGTGAGTTTTAATGGTTTGTGCAGTCATCCTCAGTGTTGTTCTGCTTGTGCTATGCTACATACCAGTGTAGMTGGTCTCATGTGGCATGCAAAGCCAGCTCTTCAGTTCTGCTTCATCTATGTCCTATCTGGATAGCACTTAAGAAACCATAGAAAACCTTTGCCCACCCTGTGTTGATCTGTAAAATGACATATCTGCTTCTCATTTTCAATAGTGCATTTGCAGAGAATGAGGAAACTCACTGTGTCCCCCCAGTAATATCTGTACGAGTGGAAGGCACAGAACATCCCACAGATATTAGCAATAGACTGGATTAAAACATCCTGACAGTTAATTAACAGCCAAAGGTAGAATCAGAGCTTGAACTTGGATTGACATCTACTGGGATTTGGCCGAGCTGCACYGCAGGAATTCTGCCTACTAATAGGAGCACATAACAGGGTTTGCATTGTCATTTAGCCTTCAATTTAATTAGGAAAATTGACATGTACTGTCCAAACTGCTGCAAAACCAGCTAAATGAAAACCATCAGCAAAGCTTTGCATTTGAATGCAAATCTGATTATTACACTCAAGTGTTTCATGTTGTTGATTTTCTCGTGTGCCCACATCAGCTGCCCACCAGTGATTTCATCTGGAGCCACTGAAAAGAAACATGACCTTATTACATAGCTGACTTTCAGTGTAAAAGCTCAAGTCAGATCTTTATTTTTTTTACTATTACTGAGTGAGGTTTCAAGACACAATTCCATGGATACTCAGAAAATGTGAACTCTGTGTGATAATGCCTGCATGTGCTGTCTCCATGTCCTATTTCATTTTCAGTTGGTTACTATATATCCCTAGAAGCAGAATAGGTATTGAGGATTAGGGCTTTCTGTTTTGCCCAGATCTGGAGGGTCTYGAATGCCATGGAGCTCTTGCAATTACCTGGCAAAGGTAATGCAAGATAGGACTTCTGAACTGTGTATTGAAGCTGAGTAAATTGCTTCTTCTCTATTTGTAAGCATTGCTTAAATACAGCAAAGCAGGAAATTGAAGTAAGAAAGATATTTTTAGAATGCATTGAAGTCTCCAGTCACTGGACATGATCATTCATTTCAACCAGTAGCATGATTTAGAAACTGGAATAAGATCATAAGAGATTAATAGTCAATGCTTAGTTCCATACATTTAAATTTGTTTACATAGGCAAAGAACGTGAATGGTTCTTGTTTAAATTGTTCATTAGAGGAAATCAGAAACTTTCTGATGAAATGCTTTCCCTCAGGGAACCCTCGCTCATTCATCAAAATCAAAACATACAGCAGGGTTCACCAAGACCCAGTGCAGAACAAGGCTGCCGCCTGGTCTCCAGCCAGCTGGCCTGCTGGGCCTCCTGGCAGCCCTCCTCGGAGCACGCAGGAGCCGAGAGCCCGAGGACACAGGCGCTGCCAGCTCCCCGCTTGAGGCTCCACAGCATCACGTGGGGACCATGCAGAGCAGTAGAGAGAGATCTCAGAGGTTTTCTTTACTCACAGAATTTAGTGATATTTCTTTTCTTTTCAGCTCAGAATGAAAATAAGTCCCATTGATGGAGAATTAGTCTTCCCCAGATAGGTCTGCTGTTTATAATCTATTTTACAGTAACTCCTAGCACCACATTACGCTGAGATCTGTACAGAACCCATCTGCAGTTCTTTCCTCAGAATTCTCTGACTCACAGAGCTCAAGAGCATTGGTTTGTTACTTGCTGTATGGCTTGAGGCCTTCTTTCTTCTTGGGTGTAGAAGAAGGGTTTTGCTTGTAATTCTAACACCTGAGTTCAAGTCAGTGTTTATCAACAGGTGACTGTAATCTCTCAAGTCTTTCTCTAATATGATTTTAAATATATTTGGTGAATTCCTGAGGTCTATGCAAACACACAAATGTTGGTAGAATAGGATGATTCATATATTCTCCTAAATCATGCCATGATCTGTATGAACAGGATTTGATGGCTGTAGATGAGGGATATTTCATTTAATTGCATTTTAAGTTACTTTGCTTTTCCTTTTATCTAGATTATTGGGGGAATCTGGCATAGAWAGTGCTTTAGATCCTTAATATCAGCATGAGAATCACTTTTATCTCCTAGATAGAGAGCAATTAGGATTGCTCGGTTATATTTAAAAAAGGTACCACATAGGAAATGATATAGTCCTGATATCATTTAATCTACATATGATACAGAATGTATGAGTTTCATTTATGTAAGATGTAGGGTTTCAACTGATGTGCATTGATGYTTGCATAACTGGGGGACAAGAAACAGCCATGCACATCCTTGTGAGATATATCAAGAGCAGAAATGCACCAAAAGATTAAGTTGATTTAAATGATGACCATTCTTCTATAGATTTTCAGATCCAGATGCTTAAGTCTAGTTCCACTATATAACACTTCTGACCAGAGAGTATGGAGAGGACACAGCTCTACTTTCCATTAGCATTCTTTATGTTGAAAGATGACTCTGCATAGCATGAATAAGGCAGACCTATTGAACTTGACTGTGATAAAGGGCAAAAGGGAGAGGACTGAAGGGACTGGAGGAAGATGAGTTCCAAGAGGTCATCTGACAACTTGAATGTTAATACAGATTTTGTTGGTTTTCATTTTAATTCTTCTAAAAGAAATGACAGTTACATCTGGTGAAGGCTGACCTTACAGTTGGATATAAAAAAAAAAAAAAAAGTAATACACTTGAATAATACTCCTTTCTTAGTCAGTAAAACAACAAGAAGTTTGACTACTTGTAATGTAACATCGTTCCAAAAGACACCAGTTCTTCTGTAAAGGATGAGGACTGCCATTTGAACAAATGGAAAAGTTCTCAGTCTCAAGGATCAAAACCTACAAAAACTATAAAAAAATGTTAAACTTATCTTCCTTTCTTCTGTCTACAGCACTACTAATGAAATATCTCCTATCTGAT